GAACTAATTCTCAAGAGAATATTCCAGGAGCCCGTTAACAATTTTTGAAATTAAACAGCTCCACTTCTCTCTCTCCAATCCGGCGCCTAATGATCAGATTTTTGGGAGAAAAATCTTATTGGTATTTTATTTTAAATACTCTCCTTTTATGCGCCTAAGTGATTAGTTGTTCCTCCAAGGGTTTTTTCTGAAAAGCCTAGCCTATTCTCTCTTCTCTCCTGTGCCACTTGTGAAGCTTTCACATTGAGAGCTTCACTCTTTCAAACACTTTCACCTAGCCTCCATCTTCATACATAGAGCGCCTAACAAGCCTCTTTGTGGTGATCATCCGATGGCTTCACAAGAAAGAGTTCTTGCACCTAGACGAATGGGTGGTGTGGATCAACGTTAGAGGGTCTGAACCCTTCAGACCTTCCTTGATCATCTGGTGATTTCACGAACAAGGTAACATCATGCTTTCCTAAAGCATGATTTTGATATGCATGTATATTCCGCAAAGAAAAATTTTGTTTTTCCCTTTTGCATGCATCGGCCTTCAAGGCCATTTCGAACTTTCAGCTATAAGCGTGGGAACCACGCTAGTAGTGTCCGGACAATCAACATTAAATCTGTTTCTGCATCAGCGGAAGATTAGACAGAGATTTACGACAAAGATTTAATCAAGATTTCTACACAAGGTCATAAACTCTATAAATAGAGACTCGGACCTCAGAGAAAAACATCTTTGGCTGGAGATAATTCTTGGAGGCTCACGCTGGAGATCTGGATTCCGACGGAGTTGAAGACCGGAGATCATTGATTCTTCTTCTTCTTTATATCTTTTATGAATTCTTTTTATTTTAATTTGTTTAAGCCAGCTATGTCTGGCTAGTTTATTTTTGTAGTTGGGATCACGGACCCGATGTGAATCCTTTATATTTTCTGTATTGATATTTTATAAGTTAATTAGTTTGTTTGTTTTATTCTACCTGGTTTAATTTTTCATATCCTGTTTAGAACTGATCACTCTAAATTATAGGGCTTGGAGGATTAGGACTCACAATAGACATATTGGGGTTTTAGTCTGGACAAGGGTAGAATAACTATTTGTGTATTATCTAGACATTGGCTTACATAAATTGCAGACTCATAATTCATTTGCTTAATGCTTAATTCAAGAGGGATTACTAAGACATTAGGATTCTAATTGGATTAAAGGGTTGAAATAACTAAGACATTAGAGTTCAACTATTTTATAGGGAAATAATGAATTGTCTGAGCAAACGAATTAATTAATTATAAAATATAATATAGGAATATAAGGGAGGATCGGAGGTGAAGTGCATCCTGACTACATCTTTTTTATAAATTTTTCATCAATATTTTCTCGCGTTCTTGATCTTTTCTTGCATGCGTTGGAAATTAATTGTTTTTAATTGTCTATTTTAAATATTATTTTATTTTAAATTATGTTTTTAAATTATAAACACTCAATTACTTTCACAAACCAAACCAATTTTATTTTTCAACTTAAGGGGAATAGTTAAACTAGTACTTGGTGCATTAATCCTCGTGACAATGATACTGTTAGTATATGGGTGTCCTAGAGACAATCTTTTGATTAAATAAAGACATTAAATGTAGAACTTTATTGTCGCAAATAAATAATAAGCACTCTTTATCCTGTTTCATATTATGTCTCGATATTATTGTTAATATATATTATGAATAAACTGGATAAACCCCTTGGAATAGAACAGGTATCTCTTGAGTATTTATGATGAGATTACAATCATGAGGATTCAAGGATACCACACGTTTATTCCTAATTTTATGTTCCTAGTCTAGAGACACTGAGAATGGGGATCAGTGATCTTGGATAAGACTAGCACGACTTATCTACTTGTATACGGATACAAGGTAAAGACCTCATGTGCTACAGATATGTAGATGTCTTAGCTAAAATCGTGGGTGGACCTATAAGGGTATAGCTCGCACTGAACAGACCCACAAAGAGACTCTATGAGGAAATCTCATAGAGAGTTTCATTAGAGTAGTCTCTTTATATTTGGGTATGTCTTTCCTTAGACCAGAAGTTATAGAAGGCATGCTTTGACTGTATACCTCGTCTGCCTGAAACATGGAGACTCATAGGTATACTGTTGGGCTTGTCTTGAAAGATCACAGGGCTAGGGTGATAAGCTGAAGGAATTCGTCAAATCTCTGTGAGAGATTAGGTTATATGTAAACCGGAGAAATCGGGATGACATTTACAGGGACTCGAGAATCTATGCATAGTAAAGGAGATCATGAGATGATCTGCCTTTAGAGTCAGTAAATTGATGATTCCCTATTTCGAATAAAGCTTACCCTAAACCGCAAGGGTTGATACATTTCCTTACCCTAGGTTAATGGGAAGGTAACCGAGACGAAGGGAAATACATACGGCAACCAAATATGTGTAATGGGATGATCAAGTCATTAATCTAACTAGTTCTGGGGCAACAAAGCATTGCTAGTGCTCTGTGTTATCATTAGATGGGTTGTGGGCTTATTGGGCCCAAACCCATTTATGTCAGTGGCTATGTAGGACCTAATGGGTCACACGCTAACACCTAATTGTCTAGATGAACTAGCATTAAAGGTATTGGGCCTAATAATGGTCATTAGTCCAAGAAGTAGTTTGGAAGTCCACCTTGAGGGTGGAGGGCGCATGGATCACAGTAATGGGCTTGGATAGTCCAAGACACTACTTATTAATTTAATTGGTTAAATTAATTATCAAACATTTAAATTTTGAATTTTGAATTTTGGAATTTGAATTTTGAATTTTGAATTTTGAATTTGAATTTTGAAATTCGAATTTTGAATTTGAAATTTGAATTTTGAATTTTGAATTTTGAATTTGAATGTTTGAAAGTTTGAATTTGAATGTTTGAATATTCGAATTTAAATATTTGAATTCAAATTTGAATTGGCTATGAAAAGTTGTTTCATAACAAAAGGATAAGATAAGATCTTGTTGGAACAAATCACTAGTATCAAGAAGAGATCTTTTGGACATGATCCAAGAAGATTGGGGCGCTGATTTTGGCTGTTGGTGAGTGTCATTTAGTCATCAAAATCAGCTCTAAAAGATACGGTCTGTTGGGAGAATATTTGAGTGAGTTGATTCAAGTTTGAATGCAACTACTCAAACGTACCTGGACTCCTTTTGGGACTGAATAGGGCGCACAGTATGAGTGGTCATGTGATGACCATCAGGTCAGAATCTTGATTAGATAAAGACCTTATGTCATAAGGATTTAATGGAGAGATTGTTGGGAGTTTTGAATTGCAACAACTCCTTTATCTCCACATTTGTTGTGCGCCACTTTCATGGGATTTTGAAGTGAAAAATCTGATTTCACTTATTTATTCCCTCACTCTCTTGTGCAATATACAAGCGTGTTCCTCCTTAGGGTTTTTAAGTGAAAAAACCTAGCCATTCTCTCCTCCTTCCATGCGCCACCTTGTGAGGTTTTCTCTTTGAAAACATCACTCTTCTAAACACATTTGCCTAGCCTCCTATTTCATACATTGAGCGCATAGCAAGCCTCATTGTGGTGATCAATTGGTGGTTCTACAAGAAGGAGTTCTTGCATCTAGACGCGGGTGGTGTGGATCAACGTTAGAGGGTTTGAACCCTTCAGACCTGACCTTGATCATCCTGAAGTTTCACGAACAAGGTATAATATACGTCTTAAAGCACGTATCTTGATGTGCATGTGTGTTCCGCTAGCGAAATTTTTTGTTTTTCCCTATCACATGCCTCGACCTTCAAGGTCATTTTACTTTCAGATACCTACTTATCACTTTATTACTTGAAACAAACGATATACTTGCCGATTTCGCAACAAGTTTTTGGCGCCGTTGCCGGGGATTAATTTCGCCAATATTGGTCTTAACTTTCGATCTTTGATATTGGAATTTTTTTTATTTTTTTATTTTTTATTTTTAATCCTCTTCATCATAAATGATCTGCTTGCCCCGAAATCACCCGGCCCAATAAGGAAATCCCAATTCATTGGGCCTTTCGATACAATCAAATAGAAAGCCCCAAGGGCGCCATATTTTAGTTTTTATTTTTTATTTTTATTTCAGTTTTATTTTTATTTCGGTTTTATTTTTATTTTTTACTTTTTTTTATTTTTTTTAAAAAAAGTATAATTTTTTTTATTTTTTTATTTTGTTACTAATTGATTTCTCTCTTTTATGCGAGGTAAAGCTAACAAAGAACCGTTACAGTTTGATCTAGAAATCGAGAAGACTGCAAAGAAGAACCATAAGCTAACCAAGCTAAGGAAGATAGAGGAATCCTCGAGTTTAGAGCCAAAAGCCGTACCCGAGATGACAGCTAATAATCTACCACCACCCGAGGAGGAATTGATGGAGTCAATCTTGGCTCCACAGTTCACAAGGCCAAATTCTAGCATCATCAGACCACCAATCAATGCCAATAATTTTGATATCAAGCCAGTGCTGATAACCCTGGTGGAGAAAAACCCATTTGGCGGGGAAGATTATGAAGACCCCATGACTTCATAGACAGATTTCTGAGAATTTGTGACACTACCAAGCATAACGGGGTGTCAGATGATGCAATTAGACTCCGACTGTTCCCTTTTGCTGTAACAGGGAAAGCTCTCAGATGGTTGGATAGACAAGCCCCCAACAACATCAGAACATGGGATGAGCTAGCAGCCAAATTCTTTGCAGAGCACTTCTCCAGGGAGAAATACAACAAGTTGGTGAATGAAATCACCAACTTCACTCAACAACCAGGAGAAACTCTATGTGCAGCTTGGACCAGATTCCAAGAACTGATCAGAAGGTGCCCCGCGTATGATCTGCCAAACGGAAATAAGGTCAGAGTCTTCTATAATGGAATGACACCAGACTCCACAATGATTGTCAATGGTGTAGCTGGTGGGACCTTAGCATAGAAGACAACAGCTCAAACTTTAGAGCTGATCGACTTTATGGCGAGAACTGAGAACGCATCAATGGCAGTTCAACCAATTCAACATGTTCAACCAAGAAGGGGAATCCTGCAGTTGGGAAACAATGATGCATCACTTGCAGAACAAAAGATCCTATCTCAACAGATATCTAGTTTGAATGCGAAGTTGGACAAGTTGCAACTTTCTACAACTCAAGTAACTCATTTAACTGTGAGTATTGCAAAGGAGAGCACGAGACCAACGAATGCCCAACACTTGTAGGAGCTGATTCCTTTCAAGTTAATGGAGTCTGGTATGATCCAAGACCACAACAGAACTTCCAGAGAAACCAGAACAATGCTCCAGGAAACAACTTCCAAAGGAGATTTCAAGGGGGAGGTTTAGAGTACAAATCTGACCAATATTTACAACCTCCTCCAATTTCACAAACTCCAACATCTGAGCTAGAGAAAGCACTGATACAGTTGACAAAGACAACTGAAGCGTTCATGAATGAAACTAGGACTCATCATAAAAGTCAAGATGCTTCAATCAGAAATCTGGAAACTCAAATTGGGCAGTTGTCAAGACAATTAGCTGAGAGAAGTCCTGGAGCATTCCCCAGTGACACTATAATCAACCCAAGGAAGCTCTGCAATGCCATCACTACTAAAAGCGAGGATCTAGAAAAAGTGGAAGCTCCTACAGGCAAGGATGAGTACACTCAAGAAGGCAAGGAAGAAGCAAAAGAGCAACCTCCTGTAGTTCAGAAGAAGCAATGGGATTTCTCACGTTTTGAGAAGCCTCTATATCCTATGGGGAGCAAGCAACATGAGCAAAGGAAGCAAATGTCTAAATTTTTAGATATTTTTAAGAAATTGCAAATTAACATTCCTTTTGCAGAAGCTCTGGAGAAAAAGCCTTCATATGCAACGTTCCTGAAGGAGACATTGTCTAAGAAGCAGAAGCTCACTGAGGATGAACATGTTACACTAATAGAGGAGTGTAGTGCAATCATACAGAAGAACTTGCCTCCAAAGTTGAAGGATCCAGGGAGCTTCAGTATTCCATGCACCATCGGCAAGACGACCATAGAGAAAGTTTTATGCGATCTTGGTGCCAGCATAAATGTGATGCCCCTCACCCTGATGAAGAAGCTGGGAATTGATGAAGTCAAGCCAACGAGGATGAATGTTCAATTGGCCGACCGCTCAACAAAGCAAGCATATGGTATTGTGGAAGATGTGCTCGTCAAGGTAAACAAATTTATAATTCCTGTTGATTTTGTTATTCTTGACATTGAGAAGATGTCAGTGTGCCTATGATATTCGGGAGGCCATTCTTAGCAACCTCAGGAGCGCTAATCGATGTACCTAAGGGAGAGTTAATGATGTGCGTGGATGGAGAGCAAACAACATTCAAGGTACTTACAAATGAAGCTCTATTGCCTGCATCTCAACCTAAAAACCAAATTAAATATATTGCGGAGAAAAAGGTTGAGAAAGGGAACAAGAAGGAAGTCCATCAGAGGCATGAGGAAAGCAAGCCAAAGGTTAAGATGGAAAAGCCCAAGAGTAAGGAAGAACATGTGAAACCTAAGCTTAAAATTTCTTAGAAACCTCCTCCTCACCCACGTGCATATGATCCTGGAAAGACACAATACTGGATCAAGAAGAATGGGTCATCAGTGGCAGCATGCTTCCAACCACCGTAATCGCAGGGGGTACGTCAGGCTCATGACGTTAAACAAGCACTAATTGGAAGGTAACCCAATAGTATTGTTTTTATTTATTTGATTTGCTTAGTTAGTTTAATTTTAACAAGTCAAGTAATTTGATTAGCGCCAACTTGGTGCTAGTAGCGCCACAAGACTAAAAGATACAGTGAGATCCGTGCCGACAGCGCCAAGGTGGCGCTTACAGCGCCAGAAATCCACGAAAGAGTTGCGCCAACAGCGTGAGATCCACGCCTTCAGCGCCACAGGTCCAAAAGTTCCAGTCAGATCTGTGCTCATAGTGCGAACTCCATGCTATCAGGGCCAGTATTCTCACTATTTACCTTGACTGTAGTATTTTATTTTTTCTGTTTTGAGATTATTGTTTGATTATGTCTCCCTTGTTAATGTATTTCACTTTTATTATTATTCTGTTTGATGTTTAACAAGTGTGTGAGTGTTCCACCTGTGCAGAAGTAGCTTCACTCGACTAGTTTAGTTTGTTGCTGAGGACAGCAACGTTCTAAATCTGGGAATTGGTCGCATACATTATGCAATACCTGCTAACTGCGGAACTACACAACAGAGAGGACGTCCAACAGAAATTTTTCTGAAAAAGGGGAGACATTTTAACCTTCAATTTTTCATTTAATTAAATTAATTTTCTTTAATTCCTGAATAAGCATTCCTAGATTTTACAAACCTTACTTAGTGATTAAATAGATTGCATTTTAAGAAGCATGATATCTGTGGAGCATTAAATTGTTTTTATAATCTGAGAATGATGATTGCTCGTTTGTATAACTGTTTTGGTAAAAATTCTTAGATAATGCTTGATGTGAAATTTTGAAATTAGATTCTAGCTTGAATTATAACTGTGAGGATTGAGCCTATACAGAAATATTTTTTTCCAGAGAGGCCTCACTGTAGTAGTTTTCTAGAACTTGAACTGTTTCTCTAGCTTGCATGCATTACTGACATGATAAAGGAATGTTTATTCTTGTTAACTTAGAGGCAAACAACCTACCTAAAAGAATTTTCCATTGTTAGCCCTTTTGAGCCTTAGACCAATTTATTAAAAAAAAACCCTGATGAAAATTACTTAACCATTTCTCCATTGACACACCTTGAAAGAGATTGAAATGCTGATCAAAGGAAAAAGTCAAGGTACTTCTCAAAAGAAAAGTTAAGTAAGTTGAAAAATGAAACAGAAGAATGGTCTGCAAAATACTGGAAAGAAAAAAAAATTCTGAAAAAGAAAAAAAGAAAGTTGCAGCTCAAAAGAGAAAAGAAAGAAAACATCTGCAAACAGGGAAAAGAAAAAGGTAGTGAAAAAGGGAAAAGAATCCAAATTGATGAAATATGGCAGAATTAAAAGACTGAGAAGGAAGTAATGTCAAAAATATCAGGATTTCAGTCTCTCAAATTAAACAGCCTCTGACCAAAAGATTCTTACCCCAAACCAGGCCAAGTTATAACCTATCAAAAGACCTTTTTATCAGTCTATGCATGTCAAATGGGTTCCTCAATCTTAGGAATTGAGAATATTTCAAGCTTATGGAATTACTGCTACACTGATGGAATGAGTGTGAACTCCTCAAACACTAGAGAGATGAGAGTATATTTATCTGGTGAGGAATATTAAAGTTAGGATCTGATTTCTTGATAAACTGAAAAGCATTGTTTGAAGTTTTAATAGGAAGTTATACATGCATAGCAGTCTGATTTCATAAGATGTTCATGTTCCAAGTTTTTCTTCACAGAGTTAATCTTTGCCTCTGACTTTAATCTATTACATTGTTGAGGACAACAACGTTCAAATCTGGGAATTTCTTGATATGCCTCCAGCATATATATAAATCTAGGCCAAAAAGAGAAAGAATATTGATTAATCTTGAATAAAAAGGCAATATTTACTGTTGATTTGTTAAAATCTCAATCAAAGATTGTAAAATGATTTTCTTTTGATTTTGTAGGAAAAACAGGACAATAAGGAGCCAAATTTGGAAGTAAGAGATTGAAGTCCCACGCTACTAGCGTAAAACTCACACTAGTAGCGCCAGAAGAAAAAATCAGCCAGACACATCCACGCTCACAGCGTGAAACTCACGCTAGTTGCGCCACAACCCACACTCACAGCGTGGGAACCACGCTAGTTGCGTGGGCTTCCAGAAATGTGAATAAAACTCCCACGCTATCAGCGTGGGAACCACACTAGTAGCGTGGGAGGTGCGGACAATCAGCATTAAATCTTTTTCTGCATCAGCGGAAGATTAGACAAAGATTTACGACAAAGATTCAATCAAGATTTCTACACAAGGTCAAAAACTCTATAAATAGAGACTCGGACCTAAGAGAAAAACATCTTTGGCTGGAGAGAATTCTTGGAGGCTCACGCTGGAGATCAGGATTCCGACGGAGTTGAAGACCGGAGATCATTGATTCTTCTTCTTCTTCTTCTCGCGCAAATTAAAAATTATTTTTTATTAGGGTTCAGAAAATTTGTAGTAAAGTTGAAACCCTAAGTCGTCTCTCAAGGAAATTGTTTTGGTAAAAATTGCTTGTGATGACAGAAAATTAAAAGGGGGGTTTGTTAGTATATGGATGTCCTAGAGACAATCTTTTGATTAGATTAGGACATATTTAGACCTTTTATATTGTCGCAAATAAAAGCACTATTTATCCTGTTTCATATTTTGTCTCAATATTACTATTAATATTTATATGAGTAACTGGATAAACCCCTTGGAATAAAATAGGTATCTCTTGAGTATCTGTGATGAGATCACGATCATGAGGATTCAAGGATACTGCATGTTTATTCCTAATTTTATGTTCCTAGTCTAGAGACACTGAGAATGGGGATCAGTGATCTCGGGTAAGGCTAGCACGACTTATCTACTTGTATTTGGATGCAAGGTAAAGACCTCATGAGCTACAGATATGGAGATGTCTTAGCTAAAGTCATGGGTGGACCTATAAGGGTATAGCTGGCACTGAACAGACCCACAAAGAGACTCTATGAGGAACTCTCACAGAGAGTATCATTAGAGTAGTCTCTTTAAATTTAGGTATATCTTTCCTAAGACCAGAAGTTATTATCTAGACTGTGTTCTAGAAGGCATGCTTTGATTGTGCACCTCGTCTGCCTGAAACATGGAGACTCATTGGTATACTGTTGGGCTTGTCCTGAAAGAACACAGGGCTAGGGTGATAAGATGAAGGAATTCGTCTAATCTCTGTGAGAGATCAGGTTATCTGTAAACCGGAGAAATCGGGATGACATTTACAGGGACTCGGGAATCTATGCATAGTAAAAGAGATCATGAGATGATCTGACTTTAGAGTCTGTAAATTGAAGATTCCCTATTTCGAATAAAGCTTACCCTAAAACGCAGGGGTTGATACGCTTCCTTACCCTAGGTTTTATGGGAAGGTAACCGAGACGAAAGGAAATATATATGGCAACCAAATATGTGTAATAGGATGATCAAGTCATTAATCTAACTAGTTCTGGGGCAACAAAGCATTGCTAGTGCTCTGTGTTGTCATTAGATGGGTTGTGGGCTTATTGGGCCCAAGCCCATTTATGTCAGTGGCTATGTTGGACCTAATGGGTCACACACTAACACCTAATTGTCTAGATGCTCTAGCATTAAAGGTATTGGGCCTAACAATTGTTATTAGCCCAAGAAGTAGTTTGGAACTCCACAGATAGGGTGGAGGGTGCATGGATCAAAGTAATGGGCTTGGATAGTCCAAGACATTACTAATTAATTTAATTAGTTAAATTAATTATCAAATGTTTAAATTTTGAATTTTGAATTTGAATTTTGAAATTTGAAATTTGAAATTTGAAATTTGAATTTTGAATTTTGAATTTTGAATTTTGAAATTCGAATTTTTAATTTTGAATTTGAAATTTGAGATTTGAAATTTGAAATTTGAATTTTGAAATTTGGATTTGAATTTTGAATTTTGAAATTTGAATTTTGAATTTTGAAATTTGAATTTGAATTTAGAATTTGAATTTGAATTTAAAATTTAAGTGTTTGAAAGTTTGAATTCAAATGTTTGAAATTCGAATTTGAATTGGCTATGAAATGTTGTTTCATAACAAAAGGATAAGATGAGATCTTGTTGGAACATATCAGGAGGAGATCTTTTGGACATAATCCAAGGATAATGGGTTGCTGATTTTGGCTAGATTTGATCATCAAAATCAGCTCCAGAAGATACGGTCTGTTGGGAGAATATTTGAGTGAGTTGATTTAAGTTTGAAATGCAACTAACTCAAATGTATCTGGTCACCTTTTAGGCTATATGGGGCGCACCATATAGCTGATTATGTGATGATTCATGATCAGATTTCTGACTAGGTTTTGAACTTAGTCTCATGAGAATATTCTGGGATGTTGTTGGCAATTTTTGAAATGCAACAACTCCACTTATTCTCTCCCTAAGGGCGCTACTTTTGATCAGATTTTTGGGAGAAAAATCTGATTTGTTTTTGAAACTTAAAAGGCTCCTTTTGTGTACTTAATGAGCAGTTAGTTCCTCCTTAGGTTTGTGTGAAAAAGCCAAGCCTTTCTCTACTCATCTATGCGCCCCTTGTGAGTTTTTCTCTTAGAACACTTCACTCTTCTAAACACTTTTACCTAGCCTCCTGCATCACACACTGAGCGCATAGCAAGCCTTATTGTGGTGATCAATCAGCGGCATTACTGGAAGGAGTTCCTGTATCTAGACACGGGTGGTGTGGATCAACGTTAGAGGGTCTGAACCCTTCAGACCTACCTTGATCATCTTGAGTTTTCACGAACAAGGTATGACATACGTCTTAAAGTATGTATCTTGATATGCATGTGTGTTCCGCTTGCGAAAAATTTTGTTTTTCCCTC